GGGTGAGGCGGAAGGATCGCCGGAGCCCAGCAGGTCAAAGCTGCGGTGGCCGGGAATGGCCACTGCACTCCAGTCTGGGCGACTGAGTAAGACTCCAACTCAAAAAAAAAAAAGAAAGAAACCTACTTCCTCTTATTTTCCCTTTTATGAATGTGGGGAAAACTCAACAAATTCTTTTGAGGTATTACAGACCTAAAAGATGGTCCAGAGCCTTAAGGAGCTGATCAGAGTTTTCCCCAGGTCCTCTTCTCCTTGTGCTTGGCCACCTTGTTTCTATTCCTGAGCCCCCTTGGCTCCTACACCTCCATTGCTCGCAACTCCCCAGCCACTGTCCTCCAAGTCTTTCCTACCAGAAATTGATGGAGGTAGACGAGAATTGGGTGTGTTGACAGAATTCATCCCAGCCTCTTCACTCCCCTGGGCCTTTCCCCTTCATGTGTCCTGTGTCAATTCCCCAAGTTCAAAAAAGGCTGTGCAGTGGAGCTGGGAGATAGATGTGGGATAATAAGAATTTTAAAGTGTCTTTAAATTTTTGACTGGGTACGGTGGCTCACGCCTATAATCCCAGCACTTTGGGAGGCAGCAGCGAGAGAGTTGCCTGAGTCCAGGGGTTTGAGACCAACCTGGACAACTTGGTAAGACCTCGTCTCTACAATAAATCAAAAATTAGCTGGGCATGGTAGCGCGCGCCTGTAGTTCTGGCTTCTTGGAAGCCTGAGCCCAGCAGGTCGACTCTGGGGTGGCCGTGAGTGTGCCACTGCACTCTAGCCTGGGCGACAGAGTGAGACTCCAACTCAAAAAAAAAAAAAGTATCTTTATATTTTCACACTCAAATGAGACCACTTTTTGTGTTCTTTCTTTTTTTCCTGCTGCCTTGTCAGTCTGCTGTCTAATGGACTCTCAGCATCACAGTGACTTAGGAGGAGGGTGGATAAACAGGACAGGGAGCTGGGGCTTTGCCGCTTCCTGGCTACCTTGCCAGAAGGATGGGTGTTTTGCCAGAGGGGAAGGATGCTTCTCTCAAATAAGGTTTTAACTCATGTATCACTTCATTGACCACTGGACCAGCTTACAGTAGTGATTTCCCTGGAACACCCAGGAGCAAGTGTCCTTGAGTGTAAAGTGGACAATTGGTGGAAGGCTGAGCACTTCCAGAAACATGGCAGCCCACACAAAAGGCCCCTGGCAGGGAGTATCCTTCACTGCCACCTGTGAGTGGCACTTTACTCTCCCTTGCCTATGCAGTACATTTAGGTGAACACAGATTCCCGGATAGCACACCCTCCAGATTCGCAGCACATACCATGTTAGCAGGGAAAAGGTAGCAAACGGGCTGGATATTAAAAATGAAAGCACTTCAGTACAAATAGTGCAAAGACGAAAGTGGCCCTCCTGCGCCTGCTTCTGATAGGCTTTGTGACCTCAGGCCGGCTCCTCCTCCTCGCTAGACCTGACTGTCCCCTTTGTGAAAAGAAGGGGCTACTTGAGATGGCTCCCGGCTCTCTAAGCTGAGTGCTTTTTCCATGGGGATGTAGGAACGGCAGCTTTGGGCTCTCTGTGCTGTTTTTGTTTCTTTGTGCCTTTGGCTGACTGGCCTGGCCGAGCACTGATAGCTCTTCTTGGCAAGATGGATTCCAGAGGCCGAGCCGGCTTGCATCAGCGCCATCTGAGTCAGTCAGTAGCTAGCTGCCTTTCAGGGAGAGCCTTAGCTCAGCGCTGGGCAGGACAAGGGGGCGGGAAGGGGTTTCTGACCGCTGTGCTTTTTCATCCAGGATTAAACAGCTTCCTGTTTTTACTTTTAGGACGAATACCTTTCTCTCGTGGCCAGGCTCATTATCCATTTTCGAGACATTCGTAAGTAAGATTTTGCATTTCCGAGTTGTTGTGATGGCTGTAAGAGGCTCTGTCGTTACCTTGGCAGAGCTTTCTGGGTGGGCCAAATGCTTGAGTCAGAAGGTCTGTGTCAACTTGCCTATTTCTGGGAAGTTCTTTTCTGCCTTGTGTTTGATTCCTGATTCTCCATCCTCCCAGAGCCTCAGCTCAAAAATGCTGATTCTGGTATAGTGGAAATGTCCTCAAAGTGGTCTAAACTGGACTGCTATTTTCACTTGTCCGTTTAATCTACTTTTTTTTTTTTTAATAGGACTGTTGCTTTTACTTCTGGGAAGTTATTAAATAAACAGATTACCCTGAAACAGAAACTTTCTTCCCTAAAAACTGGTTTTATTGACCCATTGAGGCCTGATCTAAAGCGTGTGTTCCTGCTAGACTGGAAGCTTCTGAGGTCCCTTCCTAAGTCCCTGTCCCTGGCTCCCTGCTGTGGTGAGGGTCTTCTTACCTCAGGTTGTATCTCCTCTAATTCACAGGACCCGCTGTGGTTCCATCAGCCAGTCCAGGAAGCAGCTCGGGTTCTTCAGAAGTGTGTTGTCATTGCATCCTCAGGCCAGGGGTCTTGGTGTTTTTGTCTGTTACGTGGAAGAACATACATACTGAGCGTTCCTGGATGGCCACAGCTTGTGAAGGAAACCAGGGCTGGTGGCTGCTCTGTGCTTTTAGCCAGCAGTGGCTCCTGCCCACCACAGTTGATACAGGCCTGTCCTCTGAGCATGCACCTGGCGAGTCCTGTTGCCCCCTGTGTGTTAGAGACAGGTGGAAAAAGAGTCCTGGAAGCAGCTGCAGCTTCAATGCCAGTCATCAAAGGCAAGGGGAGATATTGAGAACCCCAGAGTTCAGTAGGCTTTGCTTTTTTCCACACTATCTTTTTAACAAAATAGCCAGCAAGGCGAACTTCACTGGATCTCACTTTCTTGGGGTATTGGGAAGGTGCTGAGAAGTGTAGGAGCTGGAAATGAGCAGCCCAGATGATTAAACTTGGACATCCTGGCAAGGAGGACTCCGCATGCCTTGCTAGTGGGGACAATGGCCCAGGTGGTACATGTGGTCCTGTGGACTCACAGGCTCAGGGTCACCTGCTGCTAGAAGCCACCTGGCTTCTAGCGGGCTATGGACAGCCTTGGTTTCCTCATCTAGGAAATGGAAGTGCTGCTGCACCAGAATGGGCTGCAAAGGAAGGTGTTATGCAGCCTCTCGAGGGTTCCTGGAGCACTCTTAGTATTTTGTTGCTCAGGGCTGAGCAAAAACCCTGGACCTGGAAGGAAGGAAAGCCAGAGTAGGCCCAGAACCCTTGAGCCCAGCATACCTCAGCCTTGGGGAGTGTTCCCCAAGGTCCCAGTTGATCCCAGAGTGGCTCTGTGCCTTCACTCCCAGGAAACTGGGGGTTCTGTGCTGCTGGGAACAGACGCCCCTCCCCATTTTGCGGGGGAGTACTAGGAGCTCCATTGGGGGTTAAGGGTTGAAGAACCAGGGTCTCTTTACCTAATTTCTGGGCAGTGTGAGTTCATTTTTAGCAAATGACCTCTAGGCAAATGCCAACAGAACTGACTTACCCGTGAAAAAATGTGGTTGTATAAAACTTTGTTTACTTTGGTTTTTTTTGTTTGTGTTTTTATATAGATAACAAGAAATCTCAAGCTTCTGTTAGTGGTAAGAGTTTTTCCTTTTGAATTAAAGTTTTTCTCAACCTTGGATTTGGGGCAGCAGGAATGAGATGGTGCATGCTTTGGGTGCCTGAGTTAACCTGTTACTAGAGGAGAATATTCATAGAAAGAAGAACCCAGGAATAGAGAAGGCTGATGAACCACGCCCCCACTCTCCACCTTTCATCTTCATACAGATAGTGAAGTCATACCGTGCCTCCTCATCCATTTCCCACAAATGCTATCTTTGCCCAGCAAAACCGTTATAAAGACTCACAAAGCTGTTAAGACATTGTCTAAAAATGTTGAGCTCTCTGGGAGAGAACTATTATGCTGTATTCCAGGTAATAATCTGTAGTAGCTCTTCTGAGAGAGTACTGTGAATTCACTCTCTTAAGTTACAGAGTTTCTTTATGAGTTTAGAAACCTGTATTTTTTTTACTTTCAGAGTTTATCACATGAGAATCCTGTCATTTCAGCCCTGTTCTCTGCTTACTAAGCTCTGGTGGAGGGTTTAGTAGATCCAGACCAATCGATTGCATTTCACTGTCACAAAGGGAGTGTGCTGGCATTGCCAACTGCACCACTTTCTGCCCTTCCCTGGGCAGTGGCACTATAAATACAGCTGCCCCTGCCTGTGTAGGCCCCGCCTCTCAGCCAGTGCAGGGATTCTCTGTCATCCAGAACCCGGTGGAATCAAGAATGTGTGGTCAGGAGAATGTATGGGCTCCTTGGTGTTGGAGCATAGGGTTTTTTGTCACCACCTAGCTATGTGGTGCAGTGACCCTACCAGGCTATACCTATCTGTGGGTAGCTGTTTGCTGTAAGTCTATGCTATTATGAGGATGACATCATGCTCTTTGTCCTTGGTGGCGGCCTTGCTCACTGATCCAGGTCTGGTGGGCTTAGCACCTTGTCTCTTGGCACACTATATAACCCCCCTTCCCCACTCCTCAGCCCTGCACACAGAGGCCCAGGCTGAGTTAGTCTCTGCTGCAGCAGAGGTGGAGCTCTGGTTTGCCTATGGCCTTGTTCTACTCGCTGTGATCTGGCCAGCATGCTCCTGTGTTTTGTTGTCTCTGGGAGGCCCAGCTATTTGCTTACCCAGCAGGAGGGCTGAAGAGCTAGGAAGAGCAGGCACCACCACCTGCCCTTGAGGCAGGCCTCAGCCCATCTGCAGTTCAGCCACTGGCATTGGAAGGGTCATTTGTCCTTTAATGTTAGGACCCTGGCACAGGCTAGAGCAGAGTTGTAGGACATCTTCCCTGCTCTTGAGGGACCAACACACCAGGTGCCCTGAACCTCTATCATTTGGGAGGCTCCAGGACTCTGGTCTCTTACTGTTTGGGTCCTTAAAGGGATCGAGCCCATAGATGGATGGAGGGGGAGCAGTCTGTGCTCTGTGACCCTCACACTCTTTGAGCTACACGCAGTTTCATGGGCCCGTTCCTGAGAAGCTGTGCCCTTGTGTTCCCACAGATCCTATGAACGCACTCCAGAGCCTGACTGGTGGACCTGCCACAGGAGCTGCGGGAATTGGCATGCCTCCTCGTGGCCCGGGACAGTCCCTGGGTGGGATGGGTGGCCTTGGCACCATGGGGCAGCCGATGCCACTTTCGGGGCAGCCACCTCCCGGGACATCAGGGATGGCCCCTCATGGCATGGCTGTTGTGTCTACGGCAACTCCACAGAGTGAGTACCATGCTTCTTGGAGGATTTGGCAACACTGCATTTTATTCCTTCACTTACAATGGTATCAAGATGGAGAAACTCCACATAGCTCTGTCTTTTCATCTTTGTTGTGTGTAGACAGAAAAAGTTCCAAGCCTCCTCCTGAGTGACCCAGAAGGGGGTTAACTGACCCTGGGCATTCCTCCTAGCCCTACGCAGGAGGGAAAGACTCACTGGAGGTTGAGGATGGCCTGAGACTTCATCCAAGGGAGTGTGTTTTGTTGCTGAAAGAGAAACAGAATGTTTCAGGGAGTTCTCAGCTATGCCTCAGTGCCGTGTCAGCAACCAAGATCCCATAATATGAGGCTTGGACACCATCTCTTCTGGTGCACCCTTTGTGCCTTAGTCACCCTGGGTGTGACTCACAGCCCTGTCATCCTCAGGCATTTCTTCCTTTGTCCTCTTTGTGCACCCCTCAGCTCTGTACACAGGGGCCCAGGCTGAGTTGGTCTCAGCATAGCAAGATGCAGCTGCCCTGGTGGGGAGTGGGGCTGTGGTCAGATGTTCTAGATATACCAGAGCTGCTCTTAGAGGAGGCAAAGAGCCTTACCCCTCCTTTCAGGACTGGTCTGGATGTACCTTTGATTCCTATCAGCATTTCTTGGAGTATGCTGTGCCCACTGCAAAATGCTGTAGTATTTTTTCCCCTTTATATAACTTTTATTTTTGAAATAGTTTCAGAGAACACAGGAAGCTGTAGAATAGCACAGAGTTCCCATATGCCCCTCACCCAGCTGTTCCCAATGATAATATCTTACTTAGAACATTGTCAAAACCAGGAAATTAACATTGAGGCCATACTATGAATTCAGGTAGAGATGTGAATTTCCCCAGTTTGTTTTTGTTTTTGTTTTTGTTTTTGGGAGTTGGAGTCTCACTCTGTCACCCAGACTGGAGTGCAGTGGCCACTCCCAGCC